CTGCTTCCTGACGTGGAGGGAAATGTGCTGACATTTCCAGCCGGCCGCTGGCTGCGAGCGCACCCCGATTAGGATGCAGCGCCTGCTTGATGTGGACAGAGCGTGCAGCCTATTTAAATGCTAATGGGCTGAAGAGCGATATGCAAACTTCCAGGCAATTAGGGCTCCTGGTTTACGATTAGCTGAGTCGCCCGTGCAGCTCCGTCCGCAGCCGCCTGTCCCAGGATGTGGCATGGGGGCATCGCCACGTGTCTGCTGGGGAACGGGAGATGCAACGGAGACCCCAGCCAGCACGGAGCAGGGGGTGTCCTCGTCCTTGCAGCCACATGGGTACGAGCCTGCCGGAGTGACAGGAGATAGATGTGTTGCAGGGTCAGAAACCTTCGTGAGTCCGATGGGCCTAAACCAGGCCACATACAGACCCGCACATCAGCAGCATTGTTCAGGGCAGAAACGCATCCCGCTCTTGCGAGGGTCCACAAGAAAAAAGGGAAGATGGAGAACAGGGCAGAAGCGCGCTATTTTGTTTGCCCCCACGGTGATGGGTCCCTTAGCTATGCTGATGCACCGGCAATCTGCAGCTATGTGACTGCTAACAGCCAGACCCCAGTGGCCCTGCGGTGTCAGGTCCAGCGTGCATCACTATGAAAAGGCAGATTGTTTCCCAGCCGCTGGCCCGCAATGTTTATGAGCAGATTTCCATGACAGGCAGTGAAGTGGGTGGGAGGAATCATAAATATTTTACCGCAACCGCCTGTGGGAAGTCAGGGAAGGATGTGCTTCCCTGCAGAGAGAGGGAAACTGGCCCTGACCCCTGTCAACTTGCCTGGGTTTTCATTTTTAATGGGAAAATGGTTCTTTTTTTTCACCCAAGCTTGCAGGCAACTCTCAGGAACTCCACGCGGGGTGGGGGGGGGTGCACAAAGCACCTTGGCAAAGGTTGAAAGATGGATTCGTTCGTCAGTTATTTATGAAGTTTCTAGGCGAGGTGCTGCCATCGTGCGCGACATCCTAGGAGGAGAAGACGGCTTTTGTTGCGGCAAATGACGTAACCCTAAAAGTCGTCAAAAATGGGGAAGAGGTTTCAAAAATCATCCCCAGATGGCAGCTGCGTGGCTATAAATACGTAGTCTGACGGGCCCTTCTTAGCACTTCAGGATCTGAGGCTCGGGAGGCAGCTCGAAGTGCTGGTGTCACTATCAAAGGCTCAGATGCATGGCTTAAATACTCTTTAGCAGGTTTTCAGCGGCTCAGGAGGCAAGCTGGATCAGGGAGCGTCGTGGCTCGGATAGTTTGTAAAACTGCTGTCAAGCAGATTAAGCTGCGAATGGAAACATTGCTGGCGATGTCTTTTCCCTCTCCAGTGTCTGCGGGCTGGAGGGTGATGGTGAAGCCACCGCAGCGCCCACCCAACCCCAAGGGGTGTGAGATGGGGTCCGGTACCAGCATGAAAGCAATTAGCCCTACACGCGGGAGGCCAGAGCAGCCCACGCCCACACACAGGCCAAGGTCCCTGAGACTGTCAGCAAGGCATATTTAACAGACATAAATCACACTAAGTAGGCTCACATTTCATACAGGAAAGTGAATCTAGGAACTCCAATTCCCCCAAGTTATCCTGGCCGTCACTCTCAGCTCAGCCATGAATCCTTGGAAAGCTCCAGGCCCAGTCTTGCAGTTGGTAAATTGCCATTACTCACTAATTTATGCAACGAGAGCTAGCCTCTGATACGCAACATTTCTCTCAGTCTCCGGCTAAAGAGCTGCTCTGGCTGCAGAGCCCTTTTGCAGGAGAAGCGGGGAAGGGTAACGCCGGCAGGCTGCCTTTCTCCTTGGGGGAGGGTCTCATGCTATCCCTGTTAGGCTGTCAAGGGCAGAGAGGCACCAGCAGTGAAAAAAGTCACCCTGTCCGTGATGTGGAGACTGTGACAGCAAGAGGGACCCTGAGATGGCAATCGCTAACCTTTTTTTCTTAAGGAAATTTTCCACGTTGCAAGCCAAATCAGCTAAATCAAGTCCAAATCCATGAGTCAGTCCAGAAGCATCACCCACTGCGGTGGTCGGTCCGCCCTTCGAGTGAAGGCCTGGATTCCTCCAGACACGCGCAGCTCCTGCAGCCTTCACCTTGGTGCACTAGCAGCCTCTGCTCATCCGGGAAGGGTTGCTTGGCCTGACACGGCCAGTAGAAACGGGCTTTCTCACACCCCCTTTCCTGCAGGAATGAGTGACAGCGCTCTCCAAATGCACGCCAGCGCTAATTGTCACAAGTGACTCTGTCTGGAGGGATCTGGGGCTAAAGACAAATCAAAGCAGCAGCAGTGCTTTTCAGTGCTTTCAAAATGGATTTTCTAACTCTCCAAAGCAATTGGCCTGCAAAGCACCAAAGGAGTTCCTGTGCCATCAAAGAGAATATGCATGAGTGCCTAGGAAGGCGCAGGGATAAGCAGCTGTTTAAGGGACCTGCCTCCCCTCTCTGATCAGCATCTGGGATCCTGCACAAAGCCAAACACACGTGGGTCCAGGGTTAACACTCATCAGGTTCCCCGCTGACGAGGAGGGCGCCAGAAGGGCTTGGCCTTTTCTGATGAAGTGAACTTGAGTTCATGAAAGCTTTTTCTCTCTCTCTCTAGCTAGATGTATCTTTAGTTAGTCCATAAGGTGCATCCCTACCTGTTCTGCTGACCGACTGCAGGCTAGCAAGCTACCTACCTCTCACCTCATCGGTGCAATTCCCCTGACAAGGACTGGGGTCTGCTGCTCCTTCTGCACCCTTCCTGTTTCACTGAGCCCCAGGCTCTGCTTTCAGCTCAGGAGGCCAAGGGGTCTCTGCTCTCTTTGACCCACACCGCTGTGCACCATGATTCATTGTGACCACTGTCATGTTCCCCTCTGTTTGGCACTCCATCTGGACTCCATTGTGTCCATTTCTGGGCTTCCACTGCAGAAAGGATGTGGACAAGTTGGAGAGAGTCCAGCAGAGGCAATGAAAATGGTTTTGGGGACTGGGCCACATGGTTTATCAGGAGAGGCTGAGGGAACTGGGTTTATTTAGTCTGCAGAAGAGAAGACCAAGGGGGGGATTTAATAGCAGCCTTCAAGTCCCTGCAGGGGGGTTGCAAAGGGGCTGGGGCTGGACTGTTCTCGGTGGGGGGAGATGACAGAACAAGGAGCAATGGGCTCCAGTTGCAGCAAGGGAGGTTTAGCTTGGCTGTTAGGACAAACTTTGTCACTAGGAAGTTAGTAAAGCGCTGGAACAAGTTACCCAGAGAGGTGGTGGCATCTCCATCCTTGGAGGTTTTAAAGGCCCGACTCAACAAGCCCTGGCTGGGATGATCGAGTCAGGGCTGGGGCTGCTTTGAGAAGTGGGCTGGACTAGATGTGACCCTTCAACTCTCATTTTCTACGATTCGATGTTCTCTCCTCCAGCACCAGCTCCCCGCAGGGCTCTGGGTGGAAGGGGATGGCTGCATCTCTGACTCTGGCTGCAGTTTGCCCGGCCCACGTTCCCTGCCAGGGTTACAGGCTTCTGAGCTCGCAAAGACATGCAGGCTAATGAAAGAGGAGATGACTGCTGGCTCCCAACAGACACCCTCCACAGGATCCTTATCTCTTTGCACTGGCCTTGCAGTCGGTCTCAGGCAACCAGAGCAAGGGAGCGCTGATGGTGCCAATCTGCAGCCGAACGTACGGCTCCTTCGGGCTGCGCTTTGGGAGGAGGTTTTGCCTGCACCTGCATGCCTGCAAAGTCACAGCACTGCCAGCTCTCTCCGCAGCAATGGCACGGCCCTCGCTCCTGCGTGGAAAGGGGATGTTCTGTCCTCGGACATCCACTTCTGGCTCTGGCTCCTTGGGACAGCTCAGCTGCCTGGCCACATGCACGGTGCTGTATTATTAATGACCTCTCTAACCCCTGCAGGCCTCTGCACCTCGATTCTGCCCCCCTTTATCCCCACGACCACATCCAGCTTTCTGCTCTGCTGCTCGCCCCCGCAGCCCTGCCAGCGCGCCCAGCCTTGCGCTCCTGCTCGCCAGCTGGCTGCAGTCACCTCAGCGTCTGGTACCAGGCCTCTGGGGCCCTGTGCAAGGTCCTCTCTGCAGCCACCCGCACGGACGTCTCTCTTGCAACCCGCTTCTGTCTTGCTGCAGACAATGAGCGGAGCTGACCGGTACGTCAGCGGCCTCCGGTTGCCCCCCTGCCTCCGCCTCTGCTTTCCTTGCCACGAGCGCTGAGAGCAGGGGCTGTTCCTCCAGAGCGGTTGCAAGCTGCGGAGCGCACAGCACGAGCTGCTGCTACTGCTGATACAGTAGTAGATTTTGGGGGGGGGGGCTTGAGATGCTATATTTTCCCGTGTGCGACAGCTCTCTCCTGCATGCGTGTAACTAGCCACCTTCCTCCCTGAGCCTTTGACACCCGCTAGCCCTGTGGGTGAGGAAAGGGTGGAGGAGCTGGGGCGACTAGGTGGGGAGGGGAAGCACGCACAGTCTCAAGTGCCAGAAGAGCCGTTCGGCGGAGGAGACAGAGCCCTGGGTCTCGGCACGCACAGGCCTTAAACTGCACCCGGAGCGTGGATGTTAGGGAGAGCTTTCTACTGACGAGGCGCCGGACCGGATGGCTGCGAGCAGCGGTAGGAACCTCGGCTCTGTAGCTGCTGCGCGCAGGTGAGACGAGCCCTCGGCTGTGATGGGTTAGGGATGGGGTGGCCCTGCCTGGACTAGGTGTCATCTCCACCAGGTCCCTTCCAGCAGCAGCTCAGTGCCTTGAGCATCCTCGGCCTGTTGCAGTAGGAGAAACCCCATTAGTGGGCTTTGGCCTCTGCCTGCGAATGCAGCTCTGAGCCTCCTCTCATGCTTCCCCCCGGCCTGTCCAGCTTCCCCAGGACCCGGCGTTCGGTTCGGCAGCTCGGAGCAATAGTCTGGAGCAGGTAGAGAGCGGGGCTGCCTGAAACCAATGCAGCCCTGCACAGGGCCGGAGGACCAATCAGCGCGGCGGAGGTGGAGCCTGAGCTCCAGCGGATAATTACTAAGTGCATTTCCAGCACAATTGGTCTGGACTGCTGAAAGCTCTGGTCGCAGAGAGAGGAACGCTGTCATTGTAACTCCAGCGCGCGCCCAGCCTTGCAGCATCCCCGCCACGGCTCTGTTCTCCTGCCCAGCAGCGCGAGAAAGGTACTGCCCCAGCCCTCGCTGCTTTGCTTGCGCGTGAATGTGTGTGGCTGGGAAGTTGGTTGGGAAAGGGGAGCAGTGGGGGGGGGGGGGG